GGACTCTAAGAAGGCTGGGTACTCCGAACTGCCACTCGGCGCATAAGCGCAGATGACAGTCAGGACCCGTTCCCCGACCCTAAGGCGCAGGGAACAAACCCTCTCGTCCACCGGGAAAAACCCCAACGTACCGGCAGCAAGCCGAGGGGATATTAGAATACCCACCCCAGCCCGCCGCCTCTCTTTTTGTTTTTTATATTAATAGATATTATTTTAACAGCCCTCACATATAAAAGAGAAAATCATCTGCATAGGACCAGGTAGCAGTTGTTTCTCTGCACTTTTTGGCTCAATATAATAATTTATCTGGTCATGCTTAGAGATAAATGAAGCTAAAGATGAAACAAATTTGTTTTCCCCTTAAAAATATTATAAATGTTATACAAGGAGAGGAAACATCTTGTTCATGCTGACCGGAACCTCTATAACAGCTGACATGTGTGTGTTTAGTAACTTTTTGTTCCCACAGATTGTGTCCAATGGTCGTTCAGTTTGTGGTCAGTGGCGGCATTTACTTCCTGCTCCTGCTGCTGACTCTGGGGGAGGAATTTAAGCATTGTCCTGCTCCCCTCCAGTCAATCTGCTGTTGGGTTCATGAAAACAAGAGTGCTCGCATGCTGCTCACACTCACTGCCATCACTGTCAACTTTGGAATCGCCTCTGCAGACATTGTAAGTCTGATATTGTTTTTATCAAATCAACAACTAAGATATGTTATAGGTCATAAATACCGAATGATCAGAAGAAAAGATTTGAAAACCAAACAAGCTAACATATTAAAATCGATTAATAAGATAAGATTAATCAAAGCATCACTTCTGTAACAGCTGCTGATGTGAATGCTGGAAGGAAATGCAAAGAATGAAGCAATTTGGGGGAAAATGAATTCTCCAAAATATTGTTTTACATTTTAAGCAGCAATGTTGACACAACACAGTGTGAGGATAACTATTTGATGATGAGTCTCCATCAGTATAAAAGAGTATCGAGAGTATTGATTGTAATCACCATAAATTTCTAAAGTTTTGCAAAAATCTGTTCTCTGTAAACGAAATGTGAAATTACCATCACTTTGACAGTATTGTCGTTTCAACAACTAAAAATGTGCATTTACACATTCTTTAGTTGCACTGGAACAGTGTTAACAGCAACATAAGATAAAATTAAAAATTTTCTTACAACAATGGGAATGTTTGTTTGAAGCATTTCAAGAAGTCCCTCCATTTTTTGCATTGCTTGTTTTTTAGTTTAGTTTCTTGCTATTTTGTGCCAAAAAGTAATGATTCACCTGCAAAAACGTGCACATCTTATTGTCTATTACGATTTCCCATATACTGACAACCAACCTTCTATGTTAAACATTTTTAAAAACCTCAGTGGGAATAATAGCTTCTTCCAGCAACTTACTGAAAGGCTTTAGTACAAAGAATTTAGTACAAAATAACTTGTTAGAAAGCTTCTTGCTTGCTTCCACTAGCTGTGGTGTGATTCATCAGAAACTGACATCAGCAACACGGACTCCCTGCTGGCTCCGCCTCCCT